TTATTGTCCTAAGTAAAAGGCAGGTGGGCTTTGAGATGATGAATCTTTTTCTTTTCACAGTTGTCTTAGATGGTGTGATCTCTTACACCCTCAACATATTGTCAGCAATGGATCTAGTTTGATAATTGATATGCTTGAGCTTGTAAAACCATCTGAGTATGTCTATTTATGTGTGTGTTTCACACTGCTGGTCAATTGCCTGTTTGCACTTTGTTTCTGAGTGCAAAAACTTATTTTTAAAGATGAAAACCTCTATTTTTTATTATATTTTATTTTATTTATTTTATTTTTTTTGTGGTAAATTAGAGCTGTTATTGGTATCACGTCGTCTGTTTGCACGTTGGCTCTCAGAATAAATCATACTAATATAAAACTTATTATTTTCCTGTTTTCTTAGGCATAACCCTTGTGGGTGACTGATGCTGTCCTCTATCATTGCTAGAAGAAATGTTCTGGTGCTATGCATAGGCACATTGAAACACATTTAATTGCTCGTTTGGCTCACATGGGAATTAATTTCCCATGGGAATTTATATTTCATGGGAAATTTTTTCCCTTATGATTTTCCTAGGAATTAAGCTAAATTGTTTGGTTGACACTATAGGAAATTGCATTTCCTATGAAATTCAACTCACTAAGGGGGGGAGTTGGTGAGTAATTTCCCATGGGTTGTGGGAATTTATATTTCCCTTGGAATTGCTATTTCCCATGTTTAGCTTATTTCCCTCCAACCAAACACACCTTCATTTTACTTCCTAGGAAATTCCATTTCCAAGGAAATTATCTTCCAACCAAACAACACCTAATTATGCATGAGAACACCTTAAGCTGAGAATTTAATCCCTGAGTAATTTAAGTTTAATATTGTTTGGATGATTGTGTTTTTATACAGGAAAAGGTGGATAATACCTCAAAGGATACATCAAACAAAAAGCAGAAGGCTGGTGGTAGGAAGAAATAGAATGCCTTCTGCATGGATTCAAATTGCTATATTACTAAGACTGTCTTTCATGTAAGAAGAAATTTTCCGATACACTTATTTTATACAGAGTATTTTAGAATTCTAGTTTCAGAACAGATCAATAAGAAAAAGCAAACACCAGATGTTCGATATTAGGATACAGCTGTCTTTGTTAATTTGCTATATGCATGTCATTTTCTTTTTCAGGCAGGTTGTATTCCATTTGAGGCCACATTTCTCCCCAGTTGTTAATAGCAAGGACTCAGAAGGATCATCTGCAAATTTAAAACGGATAGTTGGCAAAAGTATATGCAGTATCTTTCCTTCTTGTATCTGCTGTTGAGTTAGGTGCTGCTTCATGTTCATGTAAGCTTGAATTAGCAATTAATCTTATGTTGGAACTTCATGTAGATCTACTGGACGGAATGAATTAACTGTTAATGTCATGTTGGTATTTTATCCTGGTGAATTGGACTGAATGCTCCCGGATTGGCAATTGCCAAGTTCCTTGCAAGCCATATTTGTAGGGGATTCTCTTATCAATCCTCGAGGGCATTGGTGTTGCGTTAAAGATGCCAAACGAGTGAAGGGTCGAGATTACATCTTTTAAATCAAGGGTGCAGATTAAATCTTACATTTGCTACCAAAATTTTGGAATAACCTTCCCTTGTTGAATACCTTGTACCTACCATAATCCTTATTCTTTGTACCTTAACCCTGGCCTGATCGACCTATGATAAGTCATTCCTTTACCGGCTTGACTCCAAAAACTGATAGATTCTATCAGAGGTTTGCCTTTCTAGGACCGGAATCGATGGCACCAAAAATACATAGGATTATTCGTTAAAGGCTGGAACTCACCTATCTAAGCGAAAGCCAGATTAGGAAATGGCTATATGCCTTCGTCGGAAGTTGTCGCGCAATTTTATCCATGCATCAATGCAAGCCATTTAATCTACGTTATTTAGCTTAATATTTATATCGGATTATATTGTAGTTATTCAGAGTGAGTTAGGACTTAGGAGATTCTAATATGTATAGAAAAAATAAAATAAAAAAGTTGGAGATTCTAATAAGATGAAGATTAATGAATTTCCGTGAGTTCCTCGTGGTAGGCTGGTAGCCAAGTTCCACTATTATGCCTAGGCGCCTAGCAGTGGCGGTCTTGAAAAAATATTTAATGGGGTCAAAATATATTTGATAAATTTTAAAGTGGTTATTTAATAAAAAATAGAAGTAGTTTTTATAAAAATGAGATTAATTTAATAGGAATTTTTTTCCATTTCATGCTCAAGTGGGGTCAAGGGACCCCACTCAAATGCTTTGCATCCACTACTAATGCCTAGAACCTTAGCTTAATCAATAATCGATTTTATGTCAATTTTATTGATTTATTTGCAATGTTTACACGTCTTATAAATTATAATGCACATTTTTTGAAGAGGCATGGCATAATGGACAAATGAGTTTAGTTTGCTCGGTTAGAAAATACAACATGACTAAGGCAATGTCGTGCACTAAACTTATTCAACCCAAGACACATGATTTTGACATAAGGCATGGCCCAATAGCCTCGTTGCCATCTTTACTCTCTTGATCTTTTTCATATAGTCTTATTGATTACAATCTAATACGAAGTAATTTTTATTCATAATTGTTATTTTGACGAGGAGGGTAGAGGAACAAAGGCCGAGGGAGGACAGCTGTCTGGCTATCCCCCCCTAAAAATATTTAGTATTATTTTCATTTAAAAAATGCAAAAGAAATGAGCAAACTAATAAACTACTGTCCATAAGAATGATTATTACAATAGCTTAATTGTTTAAATATTAATTTTTTAATTGTTATTGCTTAATTGATAAAATCTAAATTTTTTTAATTGTTATAATTGCTTAATTGTTCAAATCCCAATTTTTAAAATTATTGATTGTTTAAATCCCAATATTATGGTTGTTAAATGGTTTCTTAGTATTGTATGTATAGTGTGACAAGAATTTGTGTTCCTCGCAATAGCATATATCAAAAGTAAGTTGTGAAATAATATGGATGATTAACTTATGAATGATTATTTGGTCACTTTTATTGAGAAGAATGCATTTCTACAAGTTTGTGATTAAAAAAACATATATAGTTTTTAAAATATAAAATTGTATTTTAGTTTTAAACTTTGTATAGTTTTTTTCATTTATTTGAATTGTGTGACTAAATATTTTGGATTTTTGAGTTGCAAAACTTTAACTATAAAAAGTCAATGGTTTTAATTTTTTTTTTATTTAATATTTTTGTCAACTATTCGATATTTATTAAGCTGTCGTCCCCCCAATTAGAAATTTCTTGCTCCACCACTGTAGAGGAAGCTAGCATTTCTTCAGCTTATGCCTATTAAATTTTGAGTAGGGTGCTCATGATTCAAGTTGAGTTTTTGGTGTAGTTCAACTTTAGCTTGCAATCTGTTCCGTCTTAATAAAACTTTTTAAAAATGTGCATCTCTTCCTTCTCTTCAATTTTGTCTTTTAAGAAATATATATCTTTCGGCTATTTCACCAAATGCCACTGAGTAATTGCGAAATTCACCAAATGCCATCCAACTTTTCAAAATTCACCAAATGCCACCGAGTTTTAAGAAAATTCACCAAATGTTATTAATGACTAACGGTTGTTAGTTGACCCACCCTTGCCACGTCTCACCTTCTGATTGGTTCGTTTTTAAAAAAAAATTAAAAAAAATTAAAAATCAAAAATATTTTTATAAAAAGTTACAAAAAATAATAAAATAAAAAATAAAAAAACCCACAAACCCCAGTAGCCACCGGCCCACCCACGAAACCCTAGCCAGCCACCACTTGCCAGAGCAAAATTCGACCAGAACAACGAAAGGGGAATATTTTCGTTCGCACAAGGGGAAGAACAACGAAACTTTGATCTTCAATTTGACAAGTTGTGTCGAAATTGATTGAGGGCTTTGTTTTCAATTGCAAAATCATGTAAATAATTGTTATTTTTATATTGAAATCAAAGAGTTTGATTCAAAAATTTAAAAAACCTAACTTTTTCCCCAATTTGATTTTGAATGAAAATCATCAAATTAATTCAATAAGATTGATAATTGATACCAAAATCTTGTTTTGGAATTAAAATCGAACATCAAACCGCAAGAAAATCGTGATTTTATTCGAAATAGTTCGAATTTTGGGTCGCATCGTTCTAGTTCGTTGCGGCACCGTGGCGTGGTTGCGTTTGATGGCTGAAGTTGTTCCTGGCAGTTGCGTTGGAACCCACTGACGTTTCGGCTGGCTGCGTTGGCTCGCGTTTTTCCTGCGATCGGTGGCTGCTGCGTTGTTTGGAAATTCAGCCACATGCTGCTGCGATTGTTCTTGGTTGCTGCCTACTGCTACGATTCTACTGCTGCGTTGGCTAGACCTTGCTCTGGCTGGCATGGCAGCATGTTTTATTAAATATTTTTGTAAAAAAACAAAAACAGTATATTTAAAAAAAAATTAAAAATAAAAATATTTTTGGTTTTTAATTTTTTTTTAAAAATGGACCAATTAGAAGGTGACATGTGGCAAGGGGTGGGTCAACTAACAACCGTTAGTCATTAATGGCATTTGGTGAATTTTATTAAAACTCGGTGGCATTTGGTGAATTTTGAAAAGTTGGATGGCATTTAGTGAATTTCACAATTACTCAGTTGCATTTGGTGAAATAGCCGTATATCTTTGATGGTATGAGTATAGAAATAATACTAGTATATGTTTATTAATTACTATTATAAAAAAAGTGTTAAAATTAAATAGGTTTTTTTCATTAAATGTAATAGTATTATGTAAAGAAGTTCGAGTTTCTCACTAACTTTCAAGCTGAGTAATGAGCTATTTGACTTGACTCATCAGCATTTTAAGTCAAACTAGATAGTGTTATTGAGTGTTGATTTGACACTATGATAGTTTAAGAAGGGTATAACACTATAACCCGCACATATAAAAAAAAAAATACAAAACGATGTCGTTTTCTAAGGTTTATTGCAGTACAAAACCCTGGAGTTGCAAAATACTCTTCTGTTTTGGCCAACCCGCCGGACCAACTCATCTCTAACTCTGAAAATTTGCCGAAACAAGTCCACCATTACAGAATACCTAATTTCTGTAAACCTTCCATATTTTCAGTTTAGAGAAATTAAAATTTTCCTCTTTTATCTGATATTACCTGTTTACTAAACCCTAAATTTTCTTCCTTCAATTTCAAATATTGCAATTTTCCTTCTTTTTCAGTAAATTATTACTTGTTTAAAGAAGTATTTGATCGAAGATGCAGCACGATGAGGTCATTTGGCAAGTTATTCGTCATAATCACTGCAGTTTTATGTCCAAGTAAGAACCCTAATTTTCAAATTTTACCCTAATTTTTCTTCTTCATTTTTTCTTAATTGGTTTGATTAGTTTATTAATTATTGCGTATTGTTGATTGATTAGAATTGAAACGGGTTTATTTTGCCGAAATCCGTACAATGCGACTGGTATTTGTAATCGGAGCTCTTGCCCTCTTGCTAATAGTCGATATGCCACAATTCGAGAAGATAAAGAAACAGGTGCTTTATTGTTATTTCATGTGATTTTACTTTATATTTTTTGGTGGGTTGATTTTTATCTGAATGAATTATATGCTATGGTTTGGAAATGCAGGGATACTTTATCTGTACATGAAAACTATAGAGAGAGCTCATATGCCTAACAAGTTGTGGCAAAGGATTAAGTTGCCGTTAAATTATGATAAGGCGTTCGAGATTATTGATAAGCATATGGTACTGAATTTCTGTTTCTCTAGTCTAAGTAGTTTGAAACTTTGAATTATTGATTGAACGCGATTTGTCTGGTATATATTGTTGATTTTTGGGTGATGTTTATAGATGTATTGGCCGAAATATCTCGTGCATAAGGTGAAGCAGCGATTGACCAAGATGCATCAAATGCGCATACGGATGAGGAGGCTTGCTATAAAAACAAGGTGCCATTTTTCTCTAGTTTGATAAGCTCAAAATTTTTCCTTATGTTTCATTTACTGTGGAGTTGTAGAGGCTTCTTTCGTGGGAGAGAGCTTCTATATAGAGGCATTGGGGTAATGGTAATGGTTGCTGAAGATATATGTGTGAGAGTTTTCTTAGAAGCATTCTGTTGATGTATATTCCAGTCATTTATGACTATATTTAAGAATCATTTTCGAACTGTGAGTGGTGTAGTTTCACAGTTCTATTGGGGTTCTCTCTTTAATATAGGTGTATCCTATGCAAGGGAAGTGATTTGGTTGTTTTCCGGTGTTACTGTTATACATTCGTACTAATGATACTTGTGGCCTCGTTGGTTGTAAGTTCTGGTTTCATATGTAGTCATGAAGTTGTTGCCCCAGTTGCTACTTCAGCATTTTATAGTCACAATATTCTGTTTTCTCAGTTGTTCATGTTTTGTTAAAGTTACCCATAACCTTTCTGATGTCATATTGTGTGACTTGATTTGGTTATCTTTATCAAGAGCAATTGTTCTTGAAAATAGCCTGCAGACAAGATCAAGTGTTGTTCTTTATCAAATTTTTCTGGGCTTGGGCTTGTTCTGACTCTGAGTTATGTTCTGTTGCCATTATTTTGTTGACAAGCACCAGCATATCAACATGACTCTTGTAATTATACTGACTTAACCTATCCCAGTAACTTTATAATAACCGTATAGGCAGTGAAAATCATGCTACATGGACCTCAGTGAGAGTATTTCAAGAATTTTTAGATGTAAATAATGTAGTAGCTTGTAGAGCAATGATTAAGTAGAAATGAATAGTGGTAATTTAATGGTGGAGTGATTTAAATCGTACAGAGTAGTTTTGTGATTTTTGAAAGTATGGAATTCATATTAAGTTATGGCCTTTTTAAGTTCTCCTTAACTAATATTTTTCCATATTAAAAAAAGATGAGCTCTAACAGGACTGACACTGTTGTATGATTGTACTATATTTCTGGCTGTCTTTTCTTTTCTTCATGTGTGATGCTATTTTTATCTTGTACGTATATTTGGTATATTTTTTTCCCCACACTTTCTATGTTCGTACAATGTTTGTACAAGTATCACTACTCTGTAAGTTCTTTATCCATTGCCATAGATGCCTAGCAATGTAATCCAAACATCAAGCCTTCTCTGTATTGTGGACGTTATTATATACTTCGCATGCTATATAAGAGGTAGGAAAAAGAAAAGTTGTGCAACATTTCTTATTGGGCATATGTTTTGGGTTTGGCTCATTACTTCTTTTTGGATGTGCTTTGCCGAATAACTGATAAATTTTTTTCTTCGTTTATTTTACAGCTTATCTTCACCCTTCGTGTGTGTGTGTGCTTTTGGGGGGGGGGGGTTTCTTGCCACGTTCTTCGGACAGTAATAAATACTTGAGTTTTTATGTGTTACAGGGAAAAGATTATGACTACTCCAAGGAAGGAGATGAAGAGGGATGCCAGAAGATTGGACAAGGCTGAGATAGCAGCAGCAATCGAGAAGGTAACAATGTGTTGTTGCAGAAGGGTTTTGCTGTAATGTTCTTCAAAGTTATTTATACTAACTGGTGTTTGTTGCAGAAAATTGAGGAGGAATTGCTTGAACGCCTTAACAGAGGTGTCTATGATGACATAAGCAACGTTGATGAAAAAATATGGAAAAAAGTTCTCGCACCCCCTGAAGAGGAGCTTGAAGATGATGAAGAGGTATGTTTTAAATTGTTCTTTTCAGGATAAAGAAAATATTGATAATCCTCCCTTTACTCTTATATGTGAATGATGGAAATTCCAAATTTTAAATAACCGTGGATGATTTAGGTGCTTTTCGTCCAATTCTATTGCTAAATGTCTTTATGTTAACCTTTTGATTAATCAGAATGAGGTAGAGTATGTAGAAGGCTTTGAAGATCTTGAAGAGGAAGATGATATGGAGGATTTTGGTCTTGCAATGAATGAACCTCTTAGTGATGATGGCGAAGGTAGCCTTTCCCAGCCTCTGTTCATTTTTTTAGTGCATGTTGGCTTTATTTTGAATTCTGTTCATGAAAAATCTGTTGGTGAACTCTACAATCTGTTTTATTTATTTGTTTTTATTATTGTTATTTTTGGAACAGATGACGTGGATGAAGATGATGAAGATTCACATGTTTCTGATAAAAAGAGGAGCCGAAAAGAATCCAAATACTCTACGAAGAAGACGGACAGGGACGAGCCTGTTTCCAAGTCAAAGAAGAAAGCAAGGGTTCTTGTTGAGGTATATTTTGCAACTTCTGTATGGTTCTTTTGAATGATTATTGCCCTATTTATACTGACAAGACAGTCATTTGATTATTTGGTTTCATATTGTACATTGTGAACAACTACGTATAAGCTTTAGCTCTTGCAGAACTTGCATTCATCCTTCTTGTGGTTAAATGATATTTTCTAATTGGTGTAAACTAATCTTTTTTCGGTATATGCTGTCTCTATCATAATTAAATTTATACATTTGAGAAATTCCGCATCTTATCTGATAAGCACTCCGCTGGGAGTAAATTAGGGGCAACAAAAAAAAGCTAGTTTTGTGCTGGATTACAAGGAAATGCTATGGCATAATTTCACTGTAGTCTCTCCTTTTTCTTAAAATTCTCCACCCTTGATGATATGAACTGCATTGAATGCAGCTCTGTTCTCCAGTTTCCTTGTGATTTTTTGATTTTTTGATTTTTCTATGAAACTTAGGGCATTAGATATTTATGGAAAAACTTTTGCTTGTAATTTTTACTTTCAAAGTTATTATGTTGTGTTGTTGATTACCATGGTGCATGAGATCTCAAAATTCCCATCATAAGTTCATTAAGCTGCGTCCCCGTTGCTGGTATCACTGCTTGGACCCATCAGCTAACAACACCGATCACCCCTATCAATTCTCTTATGTTGTTTCCCAAAGTTCAGTGTTTTGGTGTAGGTCATGTCATTCCAGTAAAAGCCCGTTGTGCGCTCAGTTGATTTAATACACACCTAAAACGTGCCATTCTCCCATATGTTGATTTTACATTGAATCCATGTTTGTTTTCCTTTTCTGCAGGTTGAACATGAAGATGCTGGAGAAAGACAAACCGCAACTCACTGAGAGCTATGTAGAAAAACAGACCACAACTCACTGAGAGAGAGTTATGTTCAATTTTGCTAAACTAGTTTAGGTTGTGTGACAAAGACTTATCACTTACAAATGAGAGGTGAAACTGTAGTAGGCAATTGTGATAGTTATTATGGATTTATTCAGTTTTGTGCAATGGTGGCAAATGCTGGAGTCTTTTTTACTGTTTAACTCTGGTATGGGAACCAAACCTCACTCTCTGAGTTACCTGATTTTAGATCTACATCGTGTAATCTTCGCTCATCAATACCAATCAATTTTACATAATTTTTTACCCTTGGCATTTTCTATTTTTCCGTAGAGTAGTAATAATTTTCAATTTTCCTTGTATGTTCAGCAAAATTTATGCTCATTTTGATCAGCTTTCAAAAAACTTCAGAACGCATTTTCACAAAGGACTGATTAACTTTCTTGTAACCAAATGCATGCTTGGCTCTTTCAAACAAAGAAACAGGTCTAGAATCCATTCATCAACAGCTCTGTCATAATCAGACTGAAAAATATGCTGCCTTTAGTCTGCGGTCTGTAGTTTTGGGCTTCAAGCATTTGAAACTGTCAATTCCAGTTCCTTTCATTGGCGCGTGAAAGCTGATTCCTCTGGTGAACATTCAGAACAAACACTGCTTATTCTTCTAATTTCAGACCCTTAAAAAATCTTAACTGCAATGAGAATACAGGACTTTATTAGTAAGAGAACAATAAGAGCACAAATTTTGAATGTATGAATAACCAAAAGATGTTCCTCAATATTCTGAAGCAGCCTGGGAGTCTCATCTCATCCTCTATCACTTTGAGTAAGAATAGTAGGCAGTTCGTTTCTTAGGGCTGTGCTGATTTGGGTATTAGTTATGGGATAAAAATGTGAGGGATCCTCTATATAAGTAAATCTGGCTATATATCTTCTGATTGGATTATGGGGCAACCCATTTAAATGGCAAAGACGTAAATAAAAATACTTTTTTACTGTTCATTGGCAAAACCGTTACTTAAAACAGCAGTTTTGCCTGTAATTTTACAAATTTAGCCATGAGAAACAAAGTTTGTTTCTCTGAGTTACTAGGGTGGCCTTAATAATATATAAGGAAAAACATATTAACTGTGAGATCTTTTTGAATTCGTCTCAATAAGTAATATTATAATATATAACTTTTACAATATAATTCTTACTTGTGGAGAATTAAAGTTAATAATTGTTAAAATTTTGCATTAACAAGTGTGATAAAAGAAATAAGTCAAATAAAAAAGAACCGAGGAATTATGAACGTAGCCTAAGCTAGCCTTCCTCATTTCAAGCCTATTAAATTTAGCAAAGTTAATGAAACTTAATTGCAGGGGGTGACATTGAATTGTACATCGGAACCTGGAATTTTGCCGGGAGATATTTACAAAATTAGTTTTCCATCATTATAAATAGCTGTTTGAAGATAAGGTTTGGATACAATAATAGCTTATTAATATCTACAGTAGTAATTTAAAACTAAGGTCTTATTTAGATTGGGGGAAATATATTAAGGGGGTAATAAAAATCAAATTTGATAAAACATAATTAATTAGAGGTGTTGTTGTAGGAGACATGATATTTACAAATGAAATAAGGTAATTGTACCAGTACAATCTGTGATGTTGTACATGACTAGCCTTCACTAGTGTGCTTGTTTTCTTGCTTTGGTTTTCTCTTAGCAACCTCAATAAAATTTACGGCATTTTGAGAATGTGGGGAAGGGTAAGAGACTGATCTCTACCCTAATAGTGCACGCTCCTAGTAAGGATTTCAACCTAGCCTTGTGTTGAAAAGTGCAATCTTTATCATTAGGTCAAACTTAGTTGGTTACCGTACTTGTTTTTATCTTTGTTATGTGTACTTATATATATGCTGTCATGTATTTGTACACTATGTTGTGTAGAAATTTCGAGTTCTGTATTCACGCTTATGTCTAATTAATTTTCAACCTTGTTTGTTTCATTTCTTTTATTTCTATATACCTACTTTTCTCTCAAAAAGAAATTAATTAAAATAAAATTGGGTTCTAACACTCTAAAAACAATTACCCATAAATTATAACCCATACTTTGTATATAATGATGAATTAGTCACTAGAAAGGTGGGAACACAATCATTGATCATAAGTAGGGGTGGGACTTCGGTTTGGCGGTTCAGTTTGACCTCGATGCGAGTCGGTTTCTGTTTGGAGCGATTTGGGTTGAAACAGTTTTATTTAGCTGATGGGTTGGTTTGGTTCGGTTTGGGTTAGTCACGGGTCGATTCGGTTTCGATTTATTTCTTTGCGGTATTAATTTGGTTTAGGTCATAAGCGGGTCGGTTTATAAACGATTCGGATTATGCCGGTTCAGTTTGAAACGGGTTGGTTTAGGGGGCGGGTTTACCCGGGTCGATGTTGGTTCGGTTTACAAACGGTTTGGATCATGTCGGTTTGGTTTGAAACGGATGGGTTTAGGGGCGGGTTTACCCGGGTCAATGTTGGTTCGATTTATAAATGGTACGGATCATGCCGATTCGGTTTGAAATGGGTCGGTTTAGGGGCGGGTTTACCCAGTTCAATGTCGGTTCAGTTTATAAACGGTTTGGATCATGCTGGTTCGGTTTATAAGCAGTTTGGGTCATGATTGTTTTAAAGATCGCGTCATGACCATGATTTAATGAGTTGATACTTAAAATACGATAAATTGATAATTAAGGAAGTACACGTATTCAATTAGATCGATCAACAAGTGTTTTAAACTTTTAAGTTTTAATAATCAGATATGTTTATCGATATACGTACATACCAATGATTCAATGAGAAAATAAATAAGTAATCTAAAACGACATTATTCACATTAATAATGCCGTTAGACTAGGTGATATAAACCGTTGTATAAACCTAAGTTGTTTGATTAGATCTACATTTATTAACGTTAATTGTATTTATTTTAAATTTATATTTATTGTTACCTTTGTTAAATTAAAGTATATATATAATTATACTAGTATGTTACATTTGATATTAATTAAAATGAATAAGTAATCTAAAACGACATTAATAATGCCGTTGGACTAGGTGATATAAACCGTTGTATAAACCTAAGCCGTTTGATTAGATTTACATTTATTAACAATAATTGTATTTAGGTTGTAAATAATTCAATTTGAATTAAGCAGTTTGTAATCGGATCAGTTTAAACATGTTGCGATTCGAAAACAATTCGATTGTAACTGTTTAACGGGTTATGACAGTTCGTTTTAGACGGTTAGCGGATTGTCCCGGCTGAGACTGAGAATAAGACTTAACCCGCTTGGGCGGGTCAAGCAGCGTGAGGTCGAAAGGATATGTACCTTGTTGTTGGAGACCTCTCCGGCCTCCTTCAGTCGATGGACCGGTTGAGGTCCTTATTGGTGTGACCTCTTTTGCGGCCACGTCTTCAGCAGAAGACCCGCTTGGGGTCTTTATTGATTTACCGCCGGTAGTTGGTCGGGCGGTGGATGTGGTTTTCTGCACCTTAGGTGTAGGCTCCACTACAGTTGGCCTTTGCCAAATCTGCTTTTGTAGGTGGCGGGGAGCAAAATCCTGAAATGAAGCAACAAAGGGTCAGACGGTAAAGCAAAGCAAATATATCAAAGAAAAGCGCAAGGCAGACGGTCTTACCTTCTTTGCCGCCTGGGCAGGAAGCTTCTTCTCCAGATTCTCCTTGCGGATATCTAAAGCCTTTTTTGCAGGCGTTTTGTCTGCGGGCAGCATGGCCTTTGCTTCTTCTGCAAAACACAAAATAGATACATCATTGTAATTTTAAGTTGTCTACATTCCAAGTTCTAGACAGCCTCCTACCATCTGGGGTTTCCAGGCGGTATGTGGCGTCTCTAACCTCTTCAAAAATCCGGTAAGGGCCCTCCCAGTTTGGGGTTAGCTTGCCCTACCGGTTGCCTCCATTTTGCGGAGTACAAAGTCCCCTACTTTCAAAGGCCGCTTGTGTACCCGTTTGTTGTAGGCTCTAGTCATTCTCAGATGGTAGACCTCATGACGTAAGGCGGTGTTGCCCCTTCGCTCTGGAAGAGCATCCAAGGCAAGACGCATGGCCTCCCAATTGGCATCTTCATCGTACAGCAAGATGCGGAGAGTCGGTTCGTAGTGTTCAATAGGGAGGACAAATTTTTTAATTCCAAAATATAATAGAAATCTAATTTTTAATTGGTCGAAAATATACCTTTGCTTATGTGGCGCTCCGAATGCTCTTGAAAAATGCCTACTTTATTTATATATATTAGATTTCATCAATTATTTTAATTGCATTATTTACACTTTTTCACTATTCACACACCTCTTTTGAATTCCTTTTGTGATTTATTCGTTAGAATATTATATTTTTAAATAGTTATATGTGATAATTTATTTCGTGATTAATCAATTTATTATATGGTTATGACACACACAAAATGTACATAATTACACTTCTACATTGAATTCCTTCTTTGATTCATCTCATTCTATGAAAGAATATTAAATTAACTTACTTGTTTCAATCTATAATTATGAACGAGAAATCAATAATAATCATGTTTTATAAATGTATCATCTCATGATTAAATTATCATTTATTATCATGTTTGTAAACATGTCATTAAATAGAATTTATCAAACAATCCAAGAATCATAATCTTCTTATAATGATGACACTTTAATTTTCAAAGTATATAAAATACCTATTAAGATACTATGCGAATATTAAAAATCCATACATGTATACATACCAAATAAAATTATCAACCACTTAAAAATCATCTCACTCGATTCTCCTATATCGTAAAATAATTATTGTCAAAATAAAATTACATAATTAAAATATTTTAAGCCTAAAACAAGAAAAACCTTCTCATGTAAGAAATAAAAACTTGTAAAAAAACTTCTGAAACAATTACTATCATCAGTAACACGTACACATCTAAATCCCTTCCAATTCAAAGTGGAATCGTTTGACTCTTGATTTTGAAAGCATCCAATATAATAGATCGAAAAGCGAAGACAAGTCGAATTCAGGGTAAATTGGAGGATGAAATGGAGTCGTTTAACTCTTGAAATTGTCGTTTTTAATCTTTGTAGTTTAAAAAAAAATGTATTTCTTTAATGGAAGTGGTGTTACTTATGTTTGTTGGGAGATGTAGCAAAATTTCAATTTCAGATTTACATAAACGCGTAGTAGGTGTTGTTAAACTCATTTGTATATGATATCGGTAAAAGTCATTACAACATCATGACCTTGTATGAGAATATATACTCTCTCTGTCTCACAGTATAGTTTTTGTTTTCCTATTTTAGAGACCCAAAATGTTGTTTCTGTTTCTATTTTTGAATAGTATGTAAAGACCATTATACCCTTAATTTTTACTTTATTCATTGAACTTCCTAATTTACCCTTAACATATCCACTTGCATTATACTTTTTTCACTTTCTCTCTCTAACTTTTATCTATAATTGAACTTTTTACCTTTTTCCCCTTATATTATCCACTTGCCTTGTACTTTTGTCTAGTTCTTTTCCACTTCTCCTCCCATTTCTTAAATACCGTGAAAAAAACAAAATAGGAACTATATTATGGGACGGAGCCACGGAGGGAGTATAAGATATGGTTTTTTCAGATCACAAAGAAATGTGATTGACATGTATGAAGCATATATCTCAAGAGGATTTTATACATTTGAATTATTGGGGTCCCTTAATGTAAGACATACTGATTTTGGGTTGTTTCCGTCATTTCACCAACATTCATAGACTTTTAATTGTAAGTTAGAAAATATCTTGCACAACACGAAACATCATCACTAACTTCCCTCGTTCTATCAATAGTCTCATCGCATGTTTAAATATATATTGGTAAGCTTTATATGCGTTTTCCTTACTCGTTGTAATAGCTAAATAGTAAATGTCATTAATGACTTTAATTGATATTGCGTAAGGGCTTCTTATGCCAATAGTAACTTATGTTACTTAGTGTCCTTTTGTTTGTTGTAAACTCAGTTTAATTAATGTAATTTCAGCTATTTTTTGTAAAAAAAAAAAAACTCTTAAAACTTTCAAAGAATTGATACAAGCTTTGACATATGGAAATATCAAAAAATATTTAAAACATATTACATAAAACCTTTATAAAGTCCATCTGTCTAATAGTTAGACGATCATATTAAAACCCGCCTTATTTATTTATCAGACGGGTCTAACCCATATTATAAGTTTATAACTATGGCGGGTCATGGCTTTTAAAGGCCTCCATTCCTATGTCCTAAGTCTCTGAGTTATTTCATTGCAGCGCACTCAAGTTCTCCATTGAAGCGCACTCAACGTTCTCCATCGAAGCGTTCTCCGTTGAATCTAATTCTTGTATCCCCCATTGAAGCAGCTTCTAAGGTAAGTTGTTTGTTGTTGTTATCATCACATCAATTTCACAATCTATGGTTTATATTTGATCTAATCTAATTTAATTATCAGTGCTTTAAGTTTAGGGTTCGCAAATTCTTAGATTATGAAACATCATATCCAAAAGAAAAGAAAATTATGAGCGTAATTTGATTATTGAATCAAGTATCCCTAAAATTATGTATTTTTCGAGATAATTCAATATGAAATCAAATCTCTTTTCCCTGGGCCTAGGGCGGCCGCCCCTCCTGCCCTGCCTCAGGGACGGGCCTGCTTAAACCCCCTGCTAAAACTCTTTCTCCTTTGATTGTAAGTCCTAAACAATGAGATTCAAAAAGCAAAAGCGTCACAGAAAAACCGTCAGATTCTACACTGCTTGCTTTGGTTTTCGAGAACCATTCAAAGTTCTATGCGACGGTACTTTTGTTCATCACCTTGTTTCTAATAATCTTCCTCCTGAAACTACCGTCTCCAACACTCTTGGCGCTTCTGTTCAGCTCTTCACTTCCAAGTAATTTTTACTTTTGATTGTATTTAGTATTATTCAATTTTTTTCTGTGTTTTTGGTTTATTTCTTGTATTAATTTTAATGGGTATGGTATTGTTTTTTGATTAGATGTGTTATCGAAGAGTTGAAGTCTCTTGGAAAATCACATGTTGAATCATATCGTGTTGCTCGGAGAGATTACAAGCTTGCTAGGTTTGCCTTTTCATTTCCCTTTTTTAAAGCAGTTTTTAATGTAATTTGTTTTTATGTTTGCATAACTATGCTAATTTGATGGGTTTCGTATAAGAAGTATGAATTTATGTTTTATTTGGTGTTACTTTGTATTGTGAATGTATATATGCAGTATGTAATTTGTAGTGTAGTTATACTGTAAGGATATGTAATTCAACTGGAATGCCTCTTGTTTGTTTTCCGGGGATGCTCAGTTTAAATTTCTTGGGTTTCTACCGAGGTCCTTCCGTTCTCTGGTGCTTGCTAAACATCCCTTTGTGTACAAAAACGATATGCTAAACAAAAAAAAAAAAAAAAAAAAAGTTTGGGAGTTTTGGAAGGAAGGTAAGAATGGAGCTGCGCCTGAAAATTCCGTTGAAATCTTCTATTTCCAAGTGATTTTATTGTCATGGTCATCTTATTCAGTGATTTACTTATTTGATGTCAGCCATCAGCTATTAATATTGTTCATTTTTTTTTTTTTTCCCTTTGAAATACTGATATATGCCTTTTCATCTACTTTACTAAAATTTATCAAGACTTCATCCTTGGCTTTGTTGCTTAGGTGAATTCACTCTTCTAATTTAGAAACCCTGTTTTAGTTCCTTTTTGCACCTCTTTTTGTCCTTATCTTGATGGAAAATTGGAAATCTTGATTTATTTTGAACTTTTCGATTTTGACCAAGAGAAAGGGTGAGGAGAAGAGGTATAAGCCTTGTTTGGAAGCTAACAAGTTGTTTGTATGAGCTATTTTGACTAGCTAATCGTAATTAACTGTTTGGAGTAGTTATATGCTGTTTTAGTTTATAAGCGACCAAAAAGCTAAAAGCTCTATGAAAAAGCTCTTCATATGAGTTGTTTGCAAAAGAGTTTTTTTGGATCCATATTCAGGGCCCCTCGGTTCATAGAGTGGTATGGGTTTGGAATAAAAAATGAGGTCAAAGTGGTATAGGTTGGAATTTGATACACAATAATATGTATTTGGTTTTGTTTAGGGATGAACAATTTTCTTTTTATTTGATACCTGAAGGTATGGTGAGTCGTACCCACCTCTTCCCCCCTAGAGCCTGTGGGTTCAAGGTATGGGTTTGGAAATTGATATTTTGTTAAACTAACACAAGGTAAAGGTTTTACCTATTTTGAACCCATACCTTATATCTAAATTACTTGAACCAAACACTCCCATTTTAGACTAATTTTTCTTGTTATTTGCTTCATGATTTATTGTTGCTCTTAGTAGCAGTTTCTGTCTGATTTAGGCAGTTAGATATACATTGTAGACTGAGAGCATCCATATTCTTTGTATACTGATTTTTCTTGTAAGATGTTTCATGATACATTATTGCAGCAATTTCTGTCTGACTAGGCAGTCAGAGATACGTTGATATATTGTTCTTTGATTGGTTGGGTATGGCAGCTAAATATGTTTAGTGTCATCAGTCTGTGTCTTGATATAATTTACCACTTGCATGTCTTTGTGGTAGATGTGAGCATGGAGAACAGGAAAGTGCCTTAAATTGCATAATAGAAGTTATTGGAGAAAACAACCCTGAACACTTCTTTGTTGCTACACAAGACATTGAATTACGAAAGAAATGCCGAAAGGTAACTTTGGTTATTGTATTTGCTCTCTATTATTGTTAATCATTCTATGGTGGTACATGAGAATTCAATATAAATTCTAAAAAAAATTATTGTTACATATTGCTCAATGATAGAACATAGCCTTAAGTCCTTAACCAATACAATATTGAATATTATTCAAATTTTTATAATGCTGGATAGGTTCAGAGGAAAGTGTAAGCTTACCTTTTCCCTCCTTCTAAAGGTGGGCACCGTGCCGGGCCATGCTGTCGCGGGTCGTGCCTGACGGGCCACGGGCTTCGGCGGGCTGTGCCTAGCGGGCCATTGTGCCAAAGGTTGCGTGCCATGCCGGCCAAAATTGCAGGCCAGCCCACGACACGGCACGGCCCACGTGCCGAGCGGGCTTGTGCTGGCTGGCCTACCGCGGGCCACCGTGCTTTGCTTTTTTTTTTTTTATAAATTTTTAAAAATGTTTGTACTATATAAATAAATATATATATATATATATGTATATATATATATATATATATATATATATATATATATATATATATATATAATATATATATATATATATATATATATATATATATATATATATATATATATAGGGTGTGCCTGGCGGGCTGGCACGGCGGGCCAAGGGGCGGGCTTGTGCCGTGCCGAAAAGTGCAGCTCCTGTCTGTGGCACGGCCCACGGCACGTCGGCGGGCCACCGTGCCGTGCCGGGCGGCCCGCATGCCAGCCCGGCGCGTGCCCAGCTTTACCTCTTTCCCTTTTGCTTCTGTGACTACTGTTATCCAAACACAATCTTAAGTTTATGAAGATGTTCCTGACTGGAGTCATATCGATGCCAACTAAGTGCAACCTATATCACTAATTCTTTGTTCTAAATTCTTCACAGGTACCTGGAGTCCCAGTGATGTTTGGTTTACGAAATGCTGTATTTCTTGAGCAACTTTCATCCTATCAGCGTGAATTTGTGAAGGCAGCTGAAGAAGAAAGGCTACATATGACTGATTCAGAATATAAGTTGTTACAAAAGAGAGTAAAGGGCATATTGAATACCACGGAATTAAAGGACCTGGCAGAGGAAGGAACTGACGATGAAGATTTACTGGGTCAGCCTGTAGTAAGTCGAATGCCTAGTAAGACAGATGCAATTCATGCAAAGGACAAGGCTCAATTTAAAAAGAAGAGAGCAAAGGTTATAATCCGTTATACCTGATGAAATCCCATACGTATACTTTTTTTTATTTATCTTATCTGCATGTGTGTGTGTGCCATTATCCCTGCCCCGCCCCCCCCCCCCCCCCCAGCCTCTCTAGTGGTCCAACATGTTGGGAAAAGGAGCCATTTCTCATTCGCTTTGATCTCATATGAAGACTAGATTTACTTTAGGAACATATACACTTAAGTATAATTGATGTATATATGAAAAGTTTTGTAGACCGTTTTTAATGTAGTTCTGAAGCTGAGTAGTAAATCTGCACAACTGGAACCTTTTCCAATATCAAATAGAAGATTAGTATATTAGTCCTATGGTATAGATTACCAAAGATTTATCCTTCCTGATTATTTACTGAAATCATGGAACCTAGGAACCTAATGGCAGCTATGTTACTTTGACAGTTGCTACGTCAACTGTTAAGCACAGTGGTATATGGAATCATGCTGTTGGTAAGTCACATGATACATATTGGTGTTGGGCATGTTAGATATATTAACACTGTTATCAAGGCATTACACTTGTCGATGCTATACCATGTCACATTTATGCAAACTATTGAGGCATCTTGTAGCCTTTCCAAAGGTTTGAGAGTTTAATTGCTCTGAGTGTTACAGTCTTACTTTGTTCCCTAGATGTTGGCTGTTGGCACAATATGGCATATGCAGGACACTCTTGGGATACACGTCTTAGATAAATAAGACTTATATTATCAGGATGGAGATAAAGTAGAGAGAGGAAGGAGGGGGAGAAATTTACCTTCACATACCTTCAGCATGGCCTTTTACCCGTATTTAGTGGTCATGAAGGTGCTGCAGTGAAATTAACTCAATCTAGGGTTTGAATTACAAGAGCCCTTGCTCTGTTAGTCGAGGACATAATCTATTTAACCAAGATTTGAATCATTGGGACTTTGTATAACATTTAGAGAATCAGAAGGTGTTTGTTTTCCCTTTGTATACTTATCAATCACTGTTACATGCTGCAATCATTGATGTTAAATCCATGTGATATCACTTTTATAACTTAGCATCCTATACTGCAATCGTGATCTTAATTGCAAGTTTTTCACTTTATGATATCTAAGAATCCAAACTGTAAAAGATTTTAAAGAGCTGCCTTTTTATTAGTTTGGATTGATCAATTGAGTGAGTCTGTATCTATCACTGATGTTTGGACTAGTGAGTATTGGAATAAACCAAATATCTGTTTGTTTTTTTCCTTTTATGATTAACGCTATGATGTATTCTTCTTTTTTCGTCACGTACTTTTATCATTTTGTTTTATGTGTATTTCAATTTTAACTCATAGGCTTTCATTGTTCCGCCAACTTTGCAGGGTCCAAACCCGCTGTCGTGTAAAAAGAAGAAATCTATTAGCAGTTCAGGACCTAGTGCTGAGAAGGTAAGCCTTTCAAGCTATCTTTAATCTATTACATTGATAAAATTAAATTTTTAAACATCTTAATGCAACAACGCTGTTCAAATTTTTCATTTGCTATCGATAAATTACTAATGAATGCTATGAAGTTCAGGTAATGGTATAGTTATGGAGATGGTTATGTTACTTTCTCCATTTCCATTGGCCTTTATGCTACTCATGGAACAAATTAATTTGCTAGCATGGATATCAAAGCTATTATCTCTCACTGATACATGAAATGTTGGGTGCAGGCTGACAAGACTGATAGTGATACGAAGAGAAGCAGGCCTAGGAAGAGAAAGAGATCTCACAAGGCCAACACATCCTCAGATACTGTATAACTTTCGTAAGAGTTTCTTTTAGGTCGATCTATGGGTTAGAGGTTTTGATGGCTCTTAATTTTATTTAGAGAGTGGAAGATGGCTCTTAATTTTTTCATATAGTATGATTGTCATGTCTTGTTAATTTTGTTTGTGGAATATTCAACTTATGCCCAAAGCATGTCATTCTTTAGTAAATTTATTCAACTTATATGATCACAAGTATAGTGATAACTGACCTCTTGAACTATATGTACAATCTTATTAGGCAACTTTGGAAAAATTCATGACTAAGATTACAAAATGGTAAGTATGTTTTGGCCTAATTGTAGGTATTTTCCAACTCTTAATTTGCAATAATATTGAAGTGCTTAGAAATAAAAAGTGATTAATACATTATGTTTTTTAAAGAAAGTTTACGTGTCAGGTGGCGTTTGTATAATTTGTTTCTCAATTTGTCATAAACTTATATTAAAAAATTGTCTATACAAGATATGACACATGTTATTTTCAATTTTAACACTAGATGCATTAATATTTTATCACCAAGGTATGTCTTGTTTCATGTTTATTCTTTAAAACAAAAGATCTTGTGAGTGACTATTCAAATAATTGATTTAATTATAAGAATATGGGGTCATTAGTCAAATGTATACTCCTTGAAATGCACAAAAGCATTGCCTAGACCCGAATACTAGTTAATATATACTCGTAAAAATCAAGTGTTAGTATAAAAATAAGTGTTAGTAATCTTAGTATAAAAACAATTGTTAGTATAATCTTTAGATTTACTTTAATATATAACTTGTGTAGTGCCACAAATCGTGATATTAGTCTTATAAAAAATCTAAAACAATTACTTAATTTAGTAATAGTGAATTTATTTACTCCAAGAAATGCTTAATATAGTGAATTAGTTATCATCTCACAACTATGAGGTTGTGGGATTAAACCCTAATAGAGTCTAAATGGGTTGGTTTAAACGGTTAGCGGGTTACAAATGGTTCGGTTTAAACGGTTTTTTCTACGGTTTAAACGGTTTCGGTTTATAAACGGTTCGGGTCAATAACGGGTTTATAAACCATTCGGTTCGATTCCCTTTCGATTCGATTTTGACCAGTTTGGTTTATTGTCGGTTTACAGTCTGTAACGGGTTGACATTAAGCGGTTCGATTCGGTTTCGGTTTGATATTTTATGGTTCAGTTCGGTTTTCGGTTTAAATTTATCGGTTTATAAACGGTTCGGTTCGTGATGGTTCAGTTCGGTAACGGGCGGTTTCACAATTCGGTTTGAAAAGTCCCACCCCTAATCGTAAGGTATGGAAGAGAGATTTCTGTGGATGATTATATGGAGTAATCACTTTTTAATTAATATAGTCGACCTCACTTTATGACATTAAGACTTTAATTGATTAATTGAGTTAAATTAGCTTCATAATAAATATATTTTTTTAGTACTATAATATACTTATTTTTACAAACAACTCATAATGTCAATGTTCAAAAGTAGATCAACTTTAGTAAATACGGTATAGTAGATTGCATCATAAAATACACCAAAATTGCAACTTATACGAAGTACGACTTTGGATTAGAGTAAGTAAACGTACCTTAATGTATAGTTCAATGTGGAAAGTCTTGAAGACTCAAAATAATCTCCGAAATTATACTGGTAAATGTTATATAGAGAAAAGAGAAGTACAACAAATCAAAACAACCAAAGAAACTTGATATTGTTTTATTGAATATGTACAAAGTTAAAGAAGGCTGGCTCTAAGACAAAACACAGTAGAAAATTGTTAAAAGAGAGCTATATCTCAGGGAAAGTGAACCATTTTTTGTCCTACCCAAAACTTGTAAATTTCTGTATGTTTTTCTTTTTTGTTCCTTTACGATCATCTTCCCTTTGACTGGTTAGATAAACTGGAAATTCTCAAATTTGAACAGTAAAAATCAATTCCTTGGTTTGTCAGCTACAGCAAGTTCAACAGAGATGATGAAAGTCGAGGTTCCAGCTGATCTCAGATACTGGATATCTCCATTCATTAGCTTTACTAGCTTCCTGCTTATTTGCAGACTAATACCCTCTTCTGTTGCATCTCCGTGGTTCTCGAACATTTGGCTTAGCAATTCTTCTGATATTCCTCCTCCTGTATGTAATATTCTGAATAAAACAAGTGATTTTCGTCAGACTAAGATTTAAATCATCACAGAAAGAATTAGAACATGATAACTTGATTGTGCAGAATAGAGCTGATCATGGGTCGGGATTCAGTAAACATTCCTGCCCAACCTAGCAAAATCGGGTCTAGTCATGCAACCAACTATGTTAGGATTGGCTGCACTGCAAAATATGCCTGACCATTTGTGCTGGAAATCCTGGCCTGCCCAAAATGAGGCTGGACCAGTCTGATCAATTCTTAACAGCATTACATCGATACAGAAAGAATATTAAGGCAGAAACACGAGTTAAAATTATACCCACACAGATAACATGCTCATGATTATGGCAAAATTAGTGATATCATTATATTTGCAAGAAATAAAGGTTCGGAGATTATGTCACCTGGTAGTACTTATCACTTTTAAATGTGTGTTATTGGTGTACTTCACTGTCTAGCCTATCAGAGTTTAGTCCCTTTTAATTTGAGTGTTATTGTGTATTTCACTATCAGCTCTATCAGTGGTTTTATTCTTAGTCCATCACTCGTTGCAGATAAGATGTAGACTGTTTTAGTATTCTCATGAAGATAAGTAAATATCTTGTTCGATCTGATTACAAGTCAATTTCCTAAGAGAGAATTTTCAAAAGGTTTTGCATCATATATCACCAAATTCATGACAGCAAACAACAATATCTCGCTTTTCTGACAAAGATAAAGCTCCCACTTTACTTTGATTTTTTCTTCTTTTCACCTCAGATTAAATGCTTTCGTCGGCTGAAACTAGATTTCCTTTAACCTTTTGTTGATTTCTAAAAGTATGTCATGGGCCAAGCCACAGCATGGCACATTGCCCAGGCCTAAAATTTGCAAACTCAGCAAAGATCGAGCCAGGGCAATTTGATTAGCTCTAACTCCAACTGAAATGCAGGTTTTGAAATGGTCAAGTTGTATGCAACTCGCCCTTAACTAGTCAAGATTAGAAAAATGGATAAAGCAATTGCCAAAGAGGGTTGAATGATACACACATTCTATATGGCTTTTTTTAGAAGTTTTAGTAAGGGTGTTATTGATCAACTATTTTCCCAGACAATAACAGAACTACAAAAACTCCATAAAACCTGGAATTATGTATTTATGTACAACATAACTAAAGTTTTGGGTGATGCATTACCTGAATTCCAAATTAGCGAGCTGAACAGATTCTCCTATCTTATCCTTCATCAAGCGAACTGTAATTCCAATGTGACCTCCAACAGGTGTAAAATTCACTGAAATTAACAGGAAATCTGCCAGGACTTGCTGGAGCCTTAAGCTATCCCCATACAAGATCTCCTTCATGTAATCTTCTGCAGACTCGTTCTCTATTTGAATTCCCTTTTCGTTACTCTTTGTCATCACCTGACTTATTGAGGCAACCAGTACATCTTGCATAGAGAATTCCAACATCTCCAGTTCAAGGTAACTATCACAATAGAACATTGATATTTTACTAAAACATAAATAAGCTTGATAGACTTTTTTCAAAGGCTTATTCTTAAGAATCATGCTTCAATTTTCTATCAGATTGAAAGCAAAGAAATTGATAACTCATTGAAAAAGAGATACATGATCAGAAGTTAGATATACATACCCATCAATGATGCTATCCAAGTCTGAATCTTCAAGGATCTTGTTAAGCTGGCGTTGGCATTGAGCACTTGTATGCAAAAGCAGCCTTTGCTCATCTCCCAACCCAGTACCCTCAAGCAACTTCCTTGAAAACATAATTCCAGACAAAGGATTTCTTATCTGTCTTTTCATGTAAGACAACGCTTTTAGCCTCTTCAAAGCCGCTTGCTCAGCTAATCGTTGTATATGGAGTGCATGCTGCAAGTCCTGACTAGCAAGCTGCAAGAAGCAAAACACGCCAGTGATTGAACCTTCACTGTCCAACTTTGGGTTCACACAAAGCAGGCATTCTATATATTTCCCACTACGCGTGAAAAACCCAATAGGGACTTTTTCTGTATCTCGGCCACTCATAGCACCATTGAGTACAACACCGAGGTTTACAAATGCCTCCTGATTTTTAAGACGGCAACATGACTTTTGAGTTCCAAAAACTTCTCCAAGTAACATCTTGTCAATAACCTCCTCACGTTTATACCCAGTTAACTTTGACATTGCAGGATTCCATTCTGAACACCATCCAAATTCATCTGTTCCAAATATTGGAGGAATCAAGGGATTTGGATTCTGTACTATTGCTTTGTAATCACCTTCAATTCGCGTGAACTTGTCCATAACTGTTTTTTGACCAGTTATATCTTGAGCAATAAAGCACACCCCAATAACATGTCCATTCACATCTTTGCTTGCACAAGCATTTACAACTAAACTGATGGGGCCAGAGTCTACTATCGTCTGATGTCTTCTGATCTCAAATTGAACATTTTTCTCTTCTTTTCCTGATGAAAGTTACAAAATCAATATAAAAAATTAGTCTATTGCATATTACATGCACACAGGAAGTCCAATCATGAGATACATGTCGATAGAATATCTAAGTACATGCTATATTTGTTCCAGTTTTCTTTTCAAGAATTCAAATGCTTATATAGAATGTTGGATAATTAACTTAAAAAGAGCTAAGCTGGTCCCGATATCTTAGGACATGACAGCTGAAATTAGATACTAAATAAATCCAAGTAAAATTCAATTGATAAAAGTAGGATGACATACCTTGAAGTGCTAACTGCAACACATTCCTGACTATATCAATTGAAGAGTCTTCAACGAGTGCTCCAATATGTTTCCCAACAGCTTCTGCAACTGGGAGACCAGTCAGCTCGGAAATTTTGGTGTTCCAACCATTGACAAGTCCATCAGCATCAACAGCAAAAATGGGGACAGTGGCTGTTTCAATCAAGCGGACCATCTCACTAGTCACTGCTTCAAGCTCTCGGACACCATCAATCCTGAGATCATTTATTTTGGAATGAATGACAGATGTATTCAAATCAGACGCTTCCATATCCTTGAAAGCATTTCTCAAAATAAGCTGCAACGAGTGTATCGCATCCATCTCATAATCCTTCCAAGGCACACTCCTATTCTTCACAACCTCAAGGAATGCCTTAAATGATGATCTCGGGTGCATCTTTGCTCCATCATCCTTCTCACCTGGGTGATGTTTGGCACCGCCCCATTTAATCTCTGCAGCAGTGTGGGAGCGGAACCAAAAGAGCATGTCTTTCAAAGTAATTCGCACAGCAGCCATCCCACAAACAGTATCAGCAAGAGCAAGTGCTCCTGGATACCCAGCATCATACAAGCTATCTGTGCTCAACCCTGTGGAATCCTTATGATCAAGGGACAGCCACATAGCTATATCTCTTATTTGGTAGTCTGTTGGTGTGGCTCCAAGTTTCCATATCTTATTGTTGTACAAAAGGACAGCTCCATCACATTTAATAAGGTCCATTATATTTGGACTTTGTGTCACTATACCTAAAGGAACATCCCTCATCAGCATATCACAGAGGAGAGTTTGAGTACGGAGGATTTTCTTCTCCAGGAACTGGTTCTCCAACTCTAACTCTTTATTTACATGGATGGCAAAGACTTGAGCTAGAAACTCACATGCATAGCGCAAAGGAAAAGGGACAAATCTTGGAGAAGTATGATGACATACTACTAAACCCCATAGCCTTTTCCTCTTTTGGGGCTGGGGAGCAGCAGAGCTATTGTTATCATCATCCTCATCATTAACAACAACAGCCATAACCAACGACCCAATAGAGTTCATATTCTCCATGTATTGAGCATGACAACCATGTGGGGCCCTAAGAGTTGAACCACATAGAGTCAGATCAAAAGGAAGCTTCCCATCCTGCACCACCTGCACATATTTTGCACGGCAATCACATATCAGACGGACCTTATTCTTCATGAACAAGAACCGTGCAGCTTGTGGAATATCAGTTGCCGGATAATGCAAGCCTAGATATGGCTCAAGGCCAGGCTTTATAACCTCGGATATAACCTCCCCGTGATCATCCTCATGAAATTTGTATGCCATTACCCTGTCATATCCTGTTAATTCAAACACTTCTTGAACCATGGTATCGACAAGTTTATTTAAATTTCCACTAGACAAAGATTGCAATCGAGTAATTGCTTTGGCTGCAAGCTTGTAAGATTGTAGGGCACCAGCAGCTGTCATTGGGACTTCATACGGCTTCACTGGTTCAAAGTCAATGACTAAGCAGCCAGTCACCCTATGGATGATTGCATAGAAAGGCTTTCCAGAAGTCTTGCAATGAACTAAGATAGGATTTAGAAGAGAAACATCAGCAAATCCTAAGGCCTTCTGCAGTGCAGAAGCGCTTGGAGCAGTGAATATAGTCCTTATATCGGTTCCAATCCCAATTACTGGATAATCACCTACACTTGGGACAGTATGACTAACCATAGTTAGCATATCAGGGGCATTCTCACTAAATGCAATCACTCTAAAAGTCTTCTCGTCGAGGGCAAGCAAGCATCCGAAAGGCTGAATCAGATTTCCTTTCTGTATCTGCAAAAGATAAGTTGAGGTGGCCTTATTAGACTTTGGTGGTTGGTTTTCTCCACTAGAGCTTGTAGCTCGAACTGAGCTGGTGTAATCAAATTCACTACTAGAATCCTCAAAATCTGCATGAAGCTTTGCATCAACAATAGTCTGAGCAATAATCCTAGCACCATGTTTTGATTGGCCTGCATTGCTGCTGGAACCTTGATTTGGTGCTGGGGAAGACATTATTTGACGAAAATCTAATAATAAGAAAAATAAAAACTGTTATAAGCTATCATACCAAAAGGATCCAAGGTAAAATGCAAATCAAAGAAAGAGGGAAGATAAAATGTAAATTAAAGAAAAAAACATCAAAAACAGGTGAAGAAATAAAAAAAAATTTATACTGTATATATTATCTCAACTGCTACAAAAGGATAAAACCATATTTAGAAATTCAGGCAGTGACAAAGATAAGTTGTGATCAAGCTCTTATCCTCTAACAGGAGCTATGGTCCATTTAGCATATACAGACACATACAGTAAGATTATCATGGAAGAAGTCAGGAACATCAGTGTAAAACTCCTAGTAAAATATTACTATATTTTGTCTAAGTATAACTGTAAATCTGTAAGCGTATCACGCTGATATTCTGGGTTACTTTGGGACTTAATTTTTGCATACCACAGTTACAAATCTGGACTTAACTTTGCATACCACAGTTATAAATTTTGTATACCACAGTTATCATAATTTCCGTCAACTTCATCCTAAACGTTCAACTTCGGTTCATTTAGTTTAATTCAGCTAAATTCATTTCAAAAGAAAATATTCTCCAATTTGAACTTGCTAACAATTTTTTAATTCTGATTTGAACTTGGTAGCATCTTTCTAAATATCACCTAAAAACCATTTTTAGAAAGGAGCAAAAGGGGCGGTGGCAATCACCCAAAACAGCACACAACTAATTCAATAAGTACTAATTGCAGAATGATTCAATTGAAACAAAATGTGCCAAGTGCAAAAGTCCCCATAACAAATTACTGAAAAAACGTACATTTATATACAACCCATAACACCATAAACATAATAAAGTACATGTTATCAAAAAGAAATTAGTCATAGTACTTGCCCTTTTAAGAAGATTCCGAGTGATAATCACAACTTAATCATACATATTCCAAAGTTTTCCAATTCTATAAACCAGTACCACTAATACCTCTCTACTAAGTCCGGCTTTAGTTGTCACATTACTAGTTCAAAATTACACTGTCAACGTGCTAGTTAATTTCGGACAGAGGAGGAGTAATTCATGTATTTCACATACAGTACAAGTATTAAACAAAAAATTAAGCTACCTAGCAAAATATGCAGAAACAAAAGATATATAATTTCAGCGGAAAGGATCAAAATCTAACCTTTCAGAGAGACAAAGCTTCAAACTGAAGCAGCTAGAAAATCTGAAGTGAAGCTGCAAAGTGAAAAATACCCAACAAGCAAAACCACCTTAATAAAAATGGACAATTTTTTTCAGCTTAAATTCAACCAGAACCCAGAAACCCAACTCAACCCACTTGACCCAGATGCTAAATTCAAAGTTTCCAACAACAAATCCCCAGAAAAATTCACTTGAAATTCCAAGAAATAAAGGAGCCACCCCAAGAATTTTCTCAAAAAAAAAACAAAATTTGGGGTCTAAATCTTTGGATAAAAGAGCAGATTTTTCAGCAAAAGAGGGTAATCAGATGATCAGAGAGTAACACCAACCAAAGCTGAACATGTAAAAGAGTTTTAATTCGTCATTGTTGGGAGTGTAAGTGTGCAAATTAATTTGGGTATGCGTTAGATTATATAACTTAATAGTATAAAATTTATGGGGAGAAGAAGGAAATGGTGTTATTCTGGTATTGAGATTTGAAGAAAGTGGGCGCAGCATCAAATAATTGTAAAAAAAAAACTTGTAACATGGGGTAGCATTACTAACTTGAGTAATGTATGTACGGATAATGTCTAGAATGGGCTACTTCTATCCTTACTAGTGGCAACTACTGTGGGGCCACTTCTTGTCTAGGAAATCGTATTGTATTATACAAATCCATAATACTGAGTATATCTTCCTTTAACAAGTACGAGTAAATATGTCATACTCCCTCCGTCCCATAATATAGCTTCTGTTTTTTATTTTGGTGATCCAAAATATTATTTTTGTTTCTATTTTTAGATAATATGTACAGATTATTCTACCCTCACTTTTTTAACTTTATTCATTGTATGCATTTCTTAAATTACCCTTGAATACATGCCTTGTACTTTTTTCCACTTTCTCTCTCTAACTTTTGTTTATAAGTGTACTTTACACTTTTATTAATGTACTTCATCCACTTTTTTCTCCTATTTCTTAAATACCGTGAAAAAACACAAATAAGAACTATATTATGGGACGGAGGGAGTAGATCAAACAAAGCTTGGCTCACTTGGTTAGCATTTTATAGATGTTAAAGGTCTGATGAATAAACGGATTAATATGGGTTATAATACGTTAAGTAGTTACCAATTAGACCTAATTATTGGATGAGACAAGGTAAGCCAATTGACGATGGTAGATCGTCTAATAAATGAGAAAGGAAAAAAAAAAAACTCTTTGTACAATGATGATTCTTTACAATTTTCACATCTTCATTGACCAATAACCATACTTCCTATATTATAACCTCATCCTATCAACTACAATTCTCATAGACGAAATATTATTTTTTATATCTATAATTTTCTCTATACATAAAGAATCCAACATGATCTGTAAAGTTAAAATTGATTAAATTTTATATGTGAAATATTTCAATTCAATGAGATCTTTCTCTTTTAACGTATACATAAAAGGGTATCCCCAAAGCATATAATAATGACAAACAAATCCAAATGAAGGGATTAGGGAATGACGAATTATGGGGGTGATGAACATGGGCTAAAAATGGAAAGATAGAATTGAGGAGGTGGAACTAAACGATAAATAATGCCACGCAAACTAAGCAAGAAATAAGCCCCCCATGCCAAATCACGTGCACATCCCTTGATTCACTGGCAGTGTCGACTGACCCACCCAATCAAGTGAATCAACCCATACTCCCCTTACTCCCACGAGCCACCAGCCCACGAGCTTCCTCATCTGACGACCCTTTATTTGTTTTCTTTGGTTATTGGGTTTCTTCTTCCTAAGGTTTCTTCATACATGTAAAAAATAATCAGGGTCGAGGGCTTGAGGTTGCCTTCTCCCTTAATTTGTTGGCAAGTAAAATACCGACATTTGTCTTCTCCTTAATGAGAGTATTTGGGCCACAGGAGGCCGGAGCCCTTGTAAAAACCCCTGGCTTTGTTCCTGGTTTTATCCCAAATATAATTGGTACGGATACAAAACAGGTACGTGATACATACGTTGGTCTAGTAAATAATGAAGTTTTTAAATAGTTACTTAATTGAGAGACTGTTAAGGAGATTACATGTGAGATTTATAAAGATAACGTCACGGTTTTATGAGAAAATAACAAATTAAATGAATTATGTGTTAGGGTTTATGAAAAAGGTAATTATCTTTTGCCTTATTATCAGCTTCTTGGTGAAAATTTATACGGGATCGCAACGGTTGTCAAATTTTCAGATGCGTTCAAGTGAATCTCATGAAAATCATCCTTACGGCTACAATAAATCGTTAGATCGTCTCTCCGAAAAGGCTGTATATTCCAGCTATGTGTGCGAGAGATGTACTACAGTGCAAGATCTATTCAACGATCGTAGCTTTGATGAATTGAAGGAAACCTTATTTGATCAATTTTATGTATTTGTTAATTTAGATTTCATTTATAGATGTCGTATGACTTTTCATTAATGAATTGATTTGTTTCAAAAAAAATAAAATAAAAATTGAGAACGGTACATATCTTATACGGAGTACATAATAAAGTTAGTGAAGTAAAAAGTATAGAATAAATAAAAGTGAAAATGAGATTAATAAAAGAGGGGGAAATGATTCAAAATAAAGATAAATTATAAATGGCTAGGAGGACATACTTCTTTTGATGGCCTACTTACCGAATACTCCGTATTATTAATGAGGGTTTCCCTTTCGGCCTTTTCGCCTTTATATGTTAGCCTATCAAAGTATCACGCATCAAATAAGATGAGTATATAATTTAATTAAGTAATCGTACAAACTAATTTTTGTAGCTGCATGTTTTCATTAGATTACTAACAATCAACTATTTGATTGATAGAGCATATTAGGAAGTTTCAAATTCATTACAATCAGTCAATCACTAGTAAAAGTTGCTAGTCAGCTCAGTAGTCACTAACCTTATCTAGTACAGTACTTGTAATATTGAATATCAAACATATTGACAAGATTTCTATCTTTCTAATTCGGTACAATCATCAATCTTAATGTTCTACAATAAAGTAATAATCATGAGGTTAATAAATAAATCATTTTTTACCCTTTTTTTTTTAAAAAAAAAAGCTTCTATTCAATGGGGTTACCTTTCATGATTTTTCTAAAGAAGTATCCTATGCATATAATTAGTGATTAATACCCTACATAAAGCAAACTTAAACAAGATTACAACATTTAAGGGGGGGTGTTGGCATTTTGTTAACAAGTTCGTTGGTATTAGGCACAATTTTCACCTTACATCTGAGTGTAGGGTGAAAAAGTAACAGCATAGGATTGAAAGGTGTAATTTACACCATCGAAAAAATAACTATGGCGTATGTAGAAAGGTGTAATTTACACCTTACACTCGAGTGTAAAATGGACACCTAGACATGCTGAATTTGTTTGACGACAAATCTAGCTAGATTCTAGACCTATACAGTTATATGCCCCCTAATACCTGGAAATTTTTCCTAAAAGTTGATCAAGAACTGGGCTTCAATCATGAATAGACAACAATATCACGCAATTCACGTTCAAATTTTTAACTGCTAGTTCCAGCAATCTGACCCTTTGCTTAAAGTCACTTTAGTAGCAAATCAAATAAATTAATTACGCCTAAAACTGTGGAATGATTATTATTATTATTATTATTATTGATGATTTTTTTTAATAATGTTTCCCTTCTCCAAATATTTTTTTACTTTTGCTTATAATTGGAGTACTTTTTAGAATTAGTCAATAATTTACCATAAATTAATATCTTCTTGGCTTCTTGCCAATCAAATTTTCTAATTATATATCATAAATATAATAATATTTTTGTGCCAATCAACATTTCCAATTTGTAGTTTGTGAACATTTGAAACGTAGAATGATAATCCAAATCCAAAAGTTTGTGTTGAAAGTATATGATGTGCTACCTCTAATTTTCATTCTAACCTCACTCACTTTCGTTTTCAACTATTTTTTCTAAATTCTAATCTGTTATGCTTTACTCCGTTTATGTCAAATCCTTTATTCTCATCTCACTTGTGTGGGACCCAATTATCTAATACAAAGTAATGTTGTTTCTCTCAATTCCCCCCCTTCCCCCCGCCCCCCTAAAAAGTAAAAGTACTCGTATGCATGAGTAATCCCTATATTGTGTTTTTCCTTGAATATTATTGCAATAGTAATTGGTTAGAACACTAGAAAAATAGATGTAGTACTTTTAAAAATAAGTGGAAAGAATTCATGGATTGAAGTAATAAATGAACCTCTTTCATTCTATTTTATCGTGTAATAAATAGAATCCTAACAAATTCTACAAAATGTACTCTATGGGTGGTTCTGAACATGAGCGTGATGAATAGCCGCAATGGCCCTCCCTTCAAAATAAGGGCTCTAAAGTTCGCTATTAAATAAAGAAAAAAAAATGATTCAATGGTTAAATTGTTGAGTTTTGTGATGCACTATTAATCCTACTTGATTTATCTTCACTTTTATCATAAAATTGTGAATTTAGTAACGTTTTATCTTTAATAAAACTTGTAATTATCTGTGAAAGATTGAATCCTTAGACATCGAGTTTATACTGTCATTATTATTGTTGGTATTTTTAGCCCTGCCATTAAGATGTTCTTAATTATTCTCAAATCCTTAGACATTCAATTTATAGTTACTGTAGCATGTTGGACCTACAACACCTACTCCATTGACATATCTAGACTTATACAAATACTTCCATAATTTTATATGTCAGTCAAAATTTTACTTTCATTCATCATAAACTATAAAGGCCGCATTATCAATTTATCACGTTTCACAGTTTGAAGACCCAAGTTAGGTAAGTAAGGTCATTTTCTTGTCTTGGCCCAAATTGCAATGACCCACCCATCTCGTGCGAAAATACTTGAAATGGAAAGGAAGAAAAGGGTGACACCAAAATAATTAGTCAAAAATATTTTAGTGACCAATTTTTAGAGAATATGATATGGGTGCATGAGTAACCCAATAAGGAGGACCATCAAGCCCAAAAGAGATTTCTCGAGTTTCTGGGAAGGTGGTTATAATCTTTTAATTCTACAATGTTGGACAATTTACATGTAAAAGACCGTGCTTTAAACAACAATCTTTAAATAACACCTTAGAATCAATAACATTAAATCACACAAGCTTAGACAAATAAGTGAATAACCAAATATCGTAATTTAAGTTTTTGGCCCAACAGCTAATTCTTTATGCCTTGTAAAATAATAGCGATAACTTTATCCCCTATCAACTTCCTCTTATTGACGCATCACATTTGAGTGATTTGACTGTTAGTTATATATATCGCACTCATATATTATCTAAAATGAACTTCCAACACGACAATATTAAGTTTGTGTCATCCATCTACTTAGAAATTTCCATTCAATTGTATAGACAGCTTCTATCAGCCTAGAAAAAGTGTTCCAGAAGGTTTTGCATCAGCAACACTAAGTCCAAACTGCTGAGAATTGCGAACTCAACAAGGCACAAGCTAAGTCCCTTTTAGAAAAGCCAACTTTAGTCGATTGAGTGAAAGTGTATGTAAATATGCAATCTACTGT